GGCGGGTGGGCGGGCGAAGAAGAGCGGCGGCAGCGGGGGAGGGGGGCAGTCGGACAAGAGTGGGGGTGGCGGTGGTGCAGTCGGAGAAGAATGGGGGGAGGGGGGCTGCCGCCGCCACCGCTTCGGCGTCATCTACTCCGACGCCGTCTCCGGCACCGCTGACGTCGGCTGCGTCGGTGAGGTCGTCAAGCACGAGCGCCTCGTCGACGACCGCTTCTTCCTAATCTGCAAAGTCCAGGAGGAGGGGTCTCTGGTGGGCTGAAGAGAGAAAAGGAAAACGAGAAAATGAAAACAAGTTTTTTACGTTTTCAGATTTTCAGAAAACGACAAAAACGATTTTGTTTTTATTTTGTAAAATTTTTTACGCCAAACGCATTTTTTATACACGTTTTCACTTTTTAGTCTCGAAAAATGTGAAAAATGAAAAGGAAAACAAAAACAAACAGGCCGAGTAATTTCGTTTCTTATGAGCAATAACGTTATTATGCTGCCAGTGTGTGTGTGTGTGTTTTTTTTTGTTTTTTTATTTTAATTTCTGCTTACTCTTTGGCACTATTTGCCCTCTATACAAAGTTTTCCTGTGCTCTAATGATCCAATCAATTTTTTATTCTCGGTGATGCAACATTAGTTATTGTTTTGTGTCATCTATGTCTTGAAATGGCATTTCCTTGACAGTTTTTGTCTTCGGAAAACTGCAGTTACCATGACAATGCTTTTGCTGCTTCACGGGCTTTACACATTGTTAACAATCTGAATACTTCAGCCACTTTCCAGTTGTTGGAGGCCTTCTTCAAGCAACAGGTTGCTTTTCTTCCATTTACTTTAGCAATAAGGGCATTTCATTCTATAGTTCATCAGTTTCTGCTGCTTTTATATACTTGGTTTTTGTCACTCGTCAAACGGGACTAAACTAGAACTCTTTTTGTTGTTGTGAAAGTGTTATAATTTTTTCCTTTGATCAAATTCTCTACGAATTTGAACTCTGAAATGAAAATCTAAGGTAATGAAACTAAAGTTTGTTTTCAGTTGTTAGAATATCTTTACATCCATTTATTTAGTAGTTATTATCTCACTAAACTTCGCTTTACATCCATGTATAGAACTCTCCTCAGATTCCCAGCCATGTGTTATCTCTTGTTACTGGTTCTATACTTTGATCGAAGCTAATAAGCTTGTTGCATACTGTTGAACAGAAGAAATTTTACAACGCCCAGACTCGCGACTTGCCCAGGACCGCTGTTGTGAATGACATTGTGAAGTTTGCATCAGAAGCAGTTGGGGAGTCCTATTATGGTGCCCTTAAATCCGGCTTTGATAATCGGAAAACTGACCTTAAAACAAGGATTTCCTTCAAGGTATTGCAGACTTTCTGGCATACAAAAATTACTTGGATTGATGCAATGTTTAGGCACACATAAAAGTTACCAAGATTTTATTTCCATCTATTTTAACATATGGATGTATTTTGTCATACAGTATAGTGCTTCAAGAGGAGTGTATGGAACACCTACTTTCTTCGTCAATGGATTTCAATTACCCGATTCTGGTTCCACATTAGATTTCAATGGATGGAAAAGCTTCATCGATCCACTAATCGGGGCTAAGGGTGACAAGTATGAGGAAAATTTGCACTTTTTCTTATGAAATACTTGGCCATGAAACATTCCAAGACCTTTTACTCTTTGTAACTTGGAAGAATAAAGCTCTATGCCAAGAAATAACGTGTCTGTTTTGTATTTGTGCACAGAATAAACAACTTCTAATCTGGGGTAGGAAAAAATTGTATCTCTTGTGCTTTGTAGTTATTTTTATTGTTGTGACACTTGTAAGTTACGAAATTACATAAAGAATGGGCTTTCAACTATCCATAAACCCTTTTAGCTTGATTTCCTCAGCTCACTTTAAAACTTTTGATTTGGTCATTTTATAATCTAGAATACTTGTATTCAAAATTATGGGGCACACAATTCTCGATTAACATGCCGCCTCCCCTGGGGGGAGGAATCACTCTATTAATCAGTCTTTATGTCTCTTGTGCGTGGTGTCACCGCTTTATATTGTGACTCTAGTTAATTAAGGGATCAAGAACAAGAATGGGCTCTCAACTAGGGGTTTTTAAAAAATTCATTAAACCGCGAAAATTGTCCAATCCAAAACAAATTGAACTAAATCATTAATTATTTTTGAATTATTGTGTAGTTTGATCAGTTTTTAATTTATTTTTTTGGACGGTTTGATTTGTGGTTTAGACTCCCAAAACCGTCCAAATTGTCAAATAATTTGTCTAAAAATATACATATATAATTTTTTAATTTTTAAAATGATTTTTATATTTATTTTTTTTTTGTCATAATAAAGGTTCCACGCTTATAAAATACACCTTATCATATTTTTGTTGGTTTATATTAAAACTTTAAATGGTGAATCGTTAGACAATTTCTATTTTTAAGGTGTATTGTAGACTTGAATCTTATTTTTTTTTATTAATTAACGATTTTATAATTTTTATGAATTATTGAAAAAAAATTTAGCCTTAAGTTTAAACCGTCCAACCTACTTATGAGTGATTTAGTTCAATTTAATTTTTATCAAAAATATCAAACCGTCAAAAAAAATATTTTTAATTTAATTGGTAGTTTTTAAAAAACTGCTCAAACTAAATGGTTGTTTGGTTGGGAGATTCGTACCCTGATTCGAATCATGGTTCATGGTTCGCTACAGTGTTTTTTCTTACAAAAAATACACGAAAATAAAAATGATTTTAATATCATGATTCTAATCTATGACCAAACGTCTCCTAACTGTGAACACCCTACTTTCAACTGTTTACCAAGCGTGTTAGCTTTGATTTGCTCTGGTCACTTGAAAGTTTGATTTGGTCAATTTTTATAATATGATATTTATCGTAAAAATTGTGATGGACACAATTCTCGTTTACCATGCCGCCTACTCTGGGTAAAAAATGCTCTTAATTATAAATCACACGGTTAAAATTTAAACAAATAACTGAAAAAAAAATCTTTCTTTAATGGTATGGCTAACGTAATTAATTTGTCAATAGTAGAATGGTCGTCTAGCTTTTCAATAAATCACCATGTTGCATTCAAAAATAGACTTTATAAAGCTTTTTTTCCCCCTGAGAATCATAAAGCATTAAAAAACTATAAAATTGTTTTTCTCATCTGAAAAAAGATCATTTTTGTAGTAGAATTTGTCCTTCTTAACTATCAATAGAGCTTCTGGGTGCGTTTGGAATTGGTTTCAAAACGTTTTTATTTTTTGTATGAAAATGAAAACAAAAACGTTTTTATTTTCATTTTAGAATCATTTCTAAAAATGCGTTTGGTAGTTTTATTCAGATAAGTTAGTGGATTCTGAAAAGTCTCTCTTAGGACTTTTCTCGAACAGGTGGTGTGCATTGCAAGAGCTGCAAAATTCTGCAGCTATGGACAACTCTTTGGAACCGTAGGAGATTGCATCTGTTAGAGAGAGTATTGGTATGTGTTAGAGAGAAGATTGCATCTGTTTTGCAATTATCGAACTCAGAAAGAGAAGATTTGTTGAAGCTTTTGAACATCTACAGACGACGGACTATAATTTGCCAACATACAAGAGCAAGAAAGAGACTTAAACCTGTAAATCATATCTCATAACAAAAAAACTGCCAAAAACTTGCTCCCTCCATCTCTGCAAATCAGATCTGCTGCCGCCACCTCCACATCCCAGCTCTGGCGAGCCCAAGCAAATCCCGCTGCCAACTTCACGGCCAAGCTCCGGCGAGCCCAGGGAATCACGCTGCCACCTCCGCGGCCGTGATTCTGTGAAAACGGCATCCGAGAACGGCATCCTGAGTTCGGGGAAGAGAGAGAAACGCGGGGAGAGGAGAGAGAGAGAGATCGGAGAAGAGCAGGAAAATGAAAACGAAAATAAGAAAATGAAAACAACTTTTTTACGTTTTCAGAATTGCACAAAAAGATAAAAACGGTTTTGTTTTTGTTTTTTAAAAAAACCTGCGCCAAACGTGTTTTACAAATGTGTTTTCAATTTTTTACTTCGAAAAACGTGAAAAATGAGATTGAAAACGGTAACAAACAGGGCCTCTGTTTTTCATTTGTGATTGGAATAGTCATATATCACACACTACAAACTTTTAACATGACAAAGTAAACTTTTGAAAACTTAATAGAATAGTCAAAACAATAATTCTTAAGAAAGACAGGTCTTAACCCTAAAAAGTACATAAAATAATTTTAAAAGTAATTATTCAATATGTTTTAATTTAATAGTATTACATATCTGTCTATTTTATAGTTATTGAGATAATATCATTTTATATATACCTTTCGTTATGTGGGTGGTTATGAATTTGTACAACTGATTTTAAAAGTGTTTACAAAGGAAAAGAATGTCACTTGCAAATGTCATAACCTGTGGACATTTTTTTGAAGAAAGGAGATAAATACTCTCTAGAGTACATGAGTTTTAATTTTTATTCCTTACTCTAGACTAATATTATTCTAGTTAAATAACTATATTATTCAAAAAAGTAATAATTAAGAGTAATAGTTAAAAATTCATATCTATGTACTCTAAATGTATGTTCAGTTTTCTCTTTTTTTTTCATCCTTGCATAATAGACAAGGGGAAAGGAGATAAATAGCCTTTGTATATGGGTCTAAATTTTTACTCCTTACTCATAATTAATATTATTTTTAATTAAATAACTATATTAATAAAAAATAATTAAAAATAAGAAACAAAAATCTAGTTGAGCAATTTTTCCAATTGGACAAATATGTAATTAAGTTTTATTCAAGTGGGCGATTGTACTGGGCCGAACAATTTATAAGGCCCAGACCTAGGTCTAGGCCCACCCAACAAACAAATGGGAAGCACGTAATTGGATTCGAGAGTGGTTAGGGTAGTTTGGAAAGCCGTGTGGCGGTATATAAAGCAAAGATACATCCCGGTATGCGAAATTAGGGCGTAATAGAACAACACGAAGCCGTAGAACAGAAGAGGGCTCTTTCTGTGCGGAGCTTAAAACTTTATCTTTTCCACATCCAAGGTAACCTCCAACCAAACCCTAACTTCTCCTTCTTCGTCTCCGATTTTTCCTTTCGTTCTCCGAAATTTCCTTCGCTTTCGGTTCTTTCTTTTATTATTATTTTGTTTTTTCAAAACTTGTGCTTCTTTTATGGTGCAATTTTTCTGCTATTTGGTGTGTTTCTCACAAATCGTTTGTCCGGGATTTTACGAGCTAGGGTTTTCTGTAACTGCACTTTCTATGGCGTGATTAATTTGTGTTATTTTTTTTAAATTATATTGGTTTTTTTTTTTGGCGGTGGAGAAGATGGATCGGTATCAGAGAGTCGAAAAGCCGAGAGCAGAGACCCCCATTGATGAGAATGAGATTAGGATTACGAGTCAGGGAAGGATGCGCAACTATATCACATATGCCATGACTCTACTGCAGGTCTCTTTCTTCTCTTATATGATTTCTAGCTTTACTTCCCTTTTTTTGTTCGTTGTATTCTTTGTTTCATATTTTCATGCTCTTCATTAGTTGGTGATAGGTTTTCAATTTGATGGCTTATTAGTTGTTGGTGAAACTTTGCATTTTATTTAATGGCTTATTAAAGCTATATATTCGGTGAGAGGGAAAGA